GTTTAAGTGAAACGTAATGGTAGCGCGTTTCCGAAAACGTGCTATAGCTAAGTTAGCTACATCGCATTTCCTGAAACTCGCTACTGCTATTCCTTTTTCCCTTTTTTCTTTTATTTTTCTTTACATTTTATTTTTTCCCTTTCTCCTTCTTCTATTTCTTTCATTTTCATTTACTTTTCTACTTGTTTTTCACTTTATTTTATTTCCGTTAGCAGTAGCGTCTTACACGTAAGCGCGCTATAGCTAAGGAGAGTAGCAGTAGCGCTGGGCGAGTATACGCGCTACTGCTAGGTTGGGCTAGCCGTGTGCACCCAGTTCAAACATAGCAGCATCGCTTTTCGCTAGTACGCGCTACTGCAAAAGTCATAGCAGTAACGTGGTTTATTTACGCGCGCTGCTACTAAGTAGCAGTAGCGTTTGATTTTGTACAGCACTATTGGTAACATTCTGTGTATAAAGTTTTTCCTAATAGTGTAGAGCTAGAACTTCTAGTATGCGTACACTTCAAGAACAACCTCCAGTCCCGAATTCCTTCATAGACCACGTCAGATGCCCCTTGAAACACACCTTGGTCATTACAGCAGACCACGCAAAATAGGTAAACGCAGGCACAATCCCGGGGTAGGCTTTGTAAAACCTGACATGAAAAGGCGAGCTCTGGCCCAACGTTCAATCGCCCGAGTCCTTAAAATGCCAGTTTTTGTTCTTGCAAACAAAAATGCCATTTTTTGATTTTAAAATATCAAATACTTTCTTTGTCCGGAAATACTTATCGATTTTTAGTTTCAGATACATCCATTTTTATCCATTTACCCGATAAATATTTCCGAATAGAGGGAGTAATTCATTCCTAGGATTATACTCTATTATTTTTCGGAAATTGCCAAAAATGCTCTGCTCGGGCCGAGTTTCTCTCGCCAAAATAGAGAGCTGCTGTGGTTTGGGCCGCGCCATCGTGAGAATCTGGTTAGTCCGTCCAAAATCTACTTTGTGCGTTTCCCGCATCGTCTGGCTGAAAAAGGAAACAGCCCCAAATTTCCCCACTGTTCGGTTCCGTTTAAGGAAAATGGCAAAACCTAAAGAAAAAAATAAGAAAGGAAAACGAAAATGAAAAGCCTCCATCTCCGGCGGCCGTGGTGCTGCGCTACGAGGGAGGAGGCCAGGGGATCCCGAGGCGTCTCCGCGGCCTCCGCCGCTGGGCGCTGTGGATGAGGAGAAGTGCGTCGGGGGCTCCGTCTATCGGCCGGCTCGCCGGCGAGCGCGGGTTCGGGGGAGCAGAGACGGCAAGCGGAGCCGACGGCGCGGCGGCGCGTGGAGCCCGAAGATGCGGCGGCGCGTGGAGCCCGAAGGCGCCGCGGCGGTGGCCGCCGACCACCGGCTCCCCGGGCAACGAGCGGCGGCGGCGGGCGGATGGCACGTCACGCCCGCGGGCTGACCCGGTCAGCAGCACCGCCTCGCACGTGGGCCCACCGTGCGGGTCGGGTCGGATCTGACGGCCCCTGGATCTCTGGCGCGCGTCGGGTCCGTCGGATCTGCCAGCCAGCCCAGCGGGGCCGTGCCGTAAATTGGCACGGCACCCCGTAACGGCTTTCTCCTCGCCCCGCCCCGCCCCTTCCCCAAGCAGAGCACCGCAGAGCGGAGCCGGAGCCCCAAGCAGCGCGGCGGCGGCGGAGCGGCGCCGACCCGGGGAAGGTGAGCAGGTGATCCCCTTCCCGTCCCTTCTCTCCTCCTCCCCTCTTCTGTTCCCTTCTTTGCTTCGTGTTGGTGCGTCGCGTACCTCCGCCTCGTTGTGCAATCCGACGTGCGTCGCGTCCTTGCTGCTGATGCAGCGGTGATCGACGATCGAAGAAGCAGACCAAGTACGAAGAGCACCGAATCAGTGGCCTGCTATGCCAGTGCTTTGTAATCTTGACTCTCGAGGCCATTTCTTTCAGTGGGTTACATTGTTCGTGTGTCGACTGCTGATCTTGTCTGCTCGCACGCACGGTTCGTGATTTGGTGGCGATTTCGCTCCCCTACTCTCGTGTGCGGTGACTTGAGGATTGGGGGCAGTCTGCGGCGTAGTGGCCTCATGCCTGGTTTTCTGTAGCAACAGTAACATTGTTTGTTTGCTCCTATAGCAACGAGATTGGCCTGGGGTGTGTCTCTGATGTGGCTACGCCACTGGGGCAGAGATATATGAGGAATGTCCGGTTCTATGATACATTTTTCAGGTTGTGAAACAGCTGTTTTTGGTGAGGAGGAGGACTAGTTTCAGGCGGTTCAGAGAATGAATCATGTAGTCAGGTTGTGGGTAGTCACCAGCAGAAATGGATTGGTGATTATTATAGACTGTGACTGCACTGTTTCGGTTTGGGGAATGCGGTTGATTGCATAACAGGAGCAAGTTTGTTTCAACCTGTAGATTGCAATCACCTATTCGCTGGTGGTACGGTCATTTAATTTACATCGTCTGGACCGTTTTTCTTCTTTGGGACAACCTTCTGGTTGTTGCTCCTGTTATGGAGCTTGAGCCCTGGTCGCGGTGGTCCGAAGCTTCAAGTGTTTTCCAGGGTCGTCAGACAGCGGCTGCGGTGGTGGGCTTCTCGTTGCAGCAAGCAAGTCCTTTTCTGTTTGTTTTGCTCCTTGTGGGTGGTTTTCAGGCTTCTTTCTGTTCCTTAGTTTCTCCATGTTGTAAGACTTTTAGAGCACTTTGTTGTTTATGTTTGGGGTTTGTTTTGGTCTTCTCGATTGACGGCGGGGATTGATTGTGTATAATAATGTGGTGTGCCTCTGATTAGAACTTGTAGATGCAAGCTGGTCAAAGCACTCACTCAGGGCCATGCTTCTAGTGCGCTGGTTTAGACCTTTATTTAAGACAAGCACTGAGCGGAACTAGTAGATTACATGGCTTCATAATTGTACAGCTGCACAGATTACAAAACAAGTGCCACTCGAAAATAAGATTAGATCACAAGCAATTAGATGTGATGCATTACACTCACAATAAACATCATCGTTCTTGTAGTGCCATTCAGCCTTGTTTGGTGCTATTGTTTTGCTCCCCATAAACCTGCCCATTATGTCTGTAGTATCTGGAATGCTCATTTATCTTTCCCATATTGTTGTATCCTATAAATATCATATATCTCATCTCCTATTACTACCATGAACAATTGTTTTTACATGGATGCACTAGAGAGAAGTACGAGGTTATACTTATGATCACTGAACAACACCCCTGGATTGTGGTACATTTTATTTTATTTGGAATGGAGTAGAATTTAGTATACACTATCTATTTTAAATGGAGAACTGTAGTTTGTACGTAGCAGCTGCAAGGTCAATTGTTTCTTCGAGTCTTGTCTGCTGTATTAGATGATAGAGAGTAGTATGTGCCTTCGTGTGTTGTTGCTGATGTTATTCTGGCTCACACGCACGCTTTGTGATTTGGAGGCGGTTTCGCTTTAGTAGTCTTGTGTGCGTGACTTGTAGAATTGGGGGCAGAGATATATGAACAGTGAGGAATGCCCGGTTCTTTGACACCTTTCTTCAAGTCATGAACCTGCTGGTTTTGGTGAAGAGGACTAGTTCAGACGGTTCAGAGAATAATACATGTAGTCAGGCTGTGGGGCGTCACCAACACTGTTTGCTCCTGTATTTGGCCACTTGAGCTGATTTTTGGCACTTATGGCTATAGCCCAGTTATTTTAAAAATGGTATTCGTACTTGTTTCAGGAGAAGCGAACCCTACCATGGGTCAAGGTCCGTCCGTGAGCGATGAGAATAGCAGGATCGAGTATGCAGTGGGATCTAGGAAAGGATCGAACCCAGACATGGAAGATGCAGTGAGTATTGCACTAATTTGTATGATTATTGGAAGGTTTACACAACCTTTGATCGTTTTTGAAGTTATTGCGGTGAAATCCTAACTTTGAATTTATCCCTTGCTCTTTTTAGCATTCAACTATCCTTGATCTAGATGATTCCAGTTCCACATCATTCTTTGGTGTTTATGATGGACATGGAGGTTTGAATTTCACTTCTGATCTTGTTACAGCATATTGAAACCTTCAATATATGTAGCTTACCTGACTACTTCATGCTTTAATGAAAATCTCATAGGATTCATAGTTCTTGGAAGATGCAGATCATATGCTTGCATGCATGCATTACATTATTAAATATATGCTATGAACAGTTAATGTTAAGAGAAATGTCCATGTTTATGTCCTAATTTCTAGCTGCCAGTAAATCACTTCATGCTTTGATGAAAATCTCATAGGATTAATAGTTTTCTAGAACATACAGATCATATGCTTGCACGCGCATGCTTTACATTATTAAATTCTGTTTCAGGAGCTAATGTAGCATTGTATTGTGCGAAAAGACTTCATAATGAGCTTGTAAATGATGAGGATTATCTGACCGATCTGGAAGAAGCAATGGGGCGTGCGTTTTCTAGGTTATTTAACTTAATTATGTACTCAACACTCAGGTGACATTACTTTTTTCCTTTTTTCAGAACGTTGCTCCCTTTATTTTTTTGCAGCATGGATGAGCAGATGCAAGCAAATGATGAATGGAGAGCATTGGCGAACCCACCTCATGTCGGTCTGAAATTGCTCGATTGTATGAAGACTGCTCCTTGTGTTAAGGTTTGGTTTACATATGCATACTGTTATTCATATAGAATTGATCGATTGATGTAACAGGATACATATTTGAGATCGATGTGCCTTTGAGTTATCCGTGTGCATACTTTTATCCTTATAAACTGACTGTGTACGCGCGCATGCACACACACACACACACACACACACACACACACACCATTTTATCTAATTTTTGAGTTGAAGTTGTGGTTGTTGTGCACAGTTTACTGAGTTGGAGGGCACACATAGAATGTTTTCTCCTAGTGGCTCTCATTGCTTGTTTCCTGATAGCCCGTTCTTCCAAAGATGTTGGGATTTTTTTTGGGTATAATTTAGCTTGGAAACCTTTTCTTCCAGGGAACCCCATACCTGGAAGGAACCACAGCTTGTGTCGTTCTCATAAAAGGAGATCAAATCATCGTTGGAAACGTTGGTAACACTAGCTGTGTGCTCTCAAGGGGCCAGGAGGTATAATGATAGTTTCCTTATGAAATGCTTGTCCTTTTTTTATCATAAGAATGCATTCAATGAGTGCTAAAACTTCTTATTTGCATTTTTGCGAAGGCAATTGTTTTGTCCACTGACCACACGCCAGGTAATGTTGATGAGCGTGTGAGAATTCTAAACTCTGACGGTGCAGTAGTCCGTGTAAGGGACACTTATCTTATTGACGGGATATTCCCCTTGTCTAGATCTATAGGTATGTCTTGTCAGATATATTTTTAGTTCGTTAAATATTATGCATCGGCTTTATTGTACTTGACAATTGCATTTTAGGTGATTTTCGTTTCAAGTCGAATGAATGTTTGCTCCGTACACAACAGATTGTGACATGTACCCCAAGTATCCGCACTGTAAGTTTGTAACTGCTTTAGATGTGTCAATGAAGTGTAAGATTGATTTCATGGATGTGTTCTAATGAAAACATGCTCTTTTGTTGGGAGGAAATAACTGATGATACAAAGTACCTTCTGATAGCCAGTAGTGCTTTCTGGTCAGTCCTTTTAATTGTTGTAATGAAAACACATCTAATTGTGAAAACACACAGTATTACCAGCACTATGACATGCTGAATTTTTTTAGCAACATCATTATCTTTTTTTGTTTTGTGCTTTGCCGTTGTGACATACACTATTTTCCTCCTATTTTCTTTCTGCATTGATTTGTATGTTTTGTTTATAATTATGTGTAGCTGGATCATGTCGAAATGACAGTTAGGTTTGCTTTCTCGCATAATTGAAGAAAATAAAAGAAGAAAGTGGAGAACGATTTTATTGGCAGAACTTTATTTTACAATCATTGTTGGGGTGGTAGACTAACATAACTCGTTTAGCTTGGCATGCCATTGAATTCAGTTCCTGCAGCATAATACGGTCATCCAAACAAACCTAATTGTTAGGTCTGATCACTACTCACTAGGATCAATTTGCTGGTAGTTTCTCAGTCCGAGTTACTTCATTGCCTGTGTAGTCGTTTCTTGTATAGTTTCATAGATCATTTATATTACTCTAATCTTATTGGACACTTTTGTTGCCCCCTCCCCCTCCAGGGACACCATCTCATGTCAGAGTGCCGTTAACTATTTGAGGCAGTATTCCGTAAGCCTTTTCTTACTCATTCATTTTTGCTGTTGTTACTTGATGTGGCCTAGACCTAACAAACATGTTGTGTCAACACAGGGGTCCTACAGTCTTGCTAGCATCTGTGACAAGCTTCTGAATCAAATTAAAAATCCAGTGGACAACCTGACACTGATGCTGATCTACTTTAAGCCCAGCGCCAGGCTCCCTCCTACTGCCCCGCCTGCACCAATGGTTTACTAAGATCCTCCTCTGATCTGATCCTACTAGGATCCTCCTCTGATCTGAGCCTTGATAGAGAAGATCAAGGATGTCTGCGTTGCTATATGTTTGGTGTCTCAGATGTGATGCCACTCTCTAGGAGGATGATGATATCATGCGTAGCGTAGGTAGAAGTAGTTTCGCCAACTCTTATACAGATTGATGCATGCTTCCTGGGAGCTGTGTTGGAGATTTTGCCTTGGAGTTGGATTCTTCATGTGCATCGTTTTCGTGTTCGACCTGATACACCTGATAGTGTGGATTTTCAGAATTCCTCTGTGCTGCAGAGTATTATGCCTTTCTGAATCTGAATCACATGAATTCTTTTTCTGATCCTGCATCTTGAAGATGCTTAATCTCGACTAGTTTAGTAATAGTGTTTCTGTAGATGCTCACCGCCTTCAGAATTCTTGTTTGCTATTCTATCTATTAACCCCAGCCTAGTGTTGATACAAGTAACTAAACTACTCCCCGTTCCCATAATATAAGACATTTTTGCAAGCCGTTTTTGCTTGCAAAAACATCTTATACTGTGGGATGGAGGGAGTAGAATCTGTTAGCAATGCCAAATGAAGATCATTTACTAACTCCTAGAGCTCTGCACCACGTCATCTTTTTACTAGTTGCAGGTTCGGCTGGTGGGTCCCTGTCGGCAACCAACTCAAACACAATTATAACCGAGGCACACTCAAATGTAACTTCACGTCCACCCTAACAATCTCAACACTCCCGTGTGTGAGGGTTTCCTTTGGTAATAGGCGATTTCACGGGTACATCTGCCAAGCCTATTCTTCTTCCTCCTCCGCCCCTCCCGTGTGAGGGTGTGAGGGTTTCTGTGATGTGCGATTTCAGGGGCGACGTGTGCTGCCATCTAGGATTTGCTTCTCCAGCCTTGTGGTGATCCACCCTGGCCCGAGAAACCTCAATCTATTGCTCCCTCCGCCTCATTATAATTGCCTCGCCTTCCCGTGGAACCCTAGGTGTCTAGGTTTTTATTCCATCCCCCATCCACCCCAAGCCTTTCGTGTGATCTAGGGTGCCCAATCGTAAAACACTCAATCCCCCTAGATTGGTTTCACTGCTTTGCTGGAGAAGGAGATGGAGAAGGTGGAGGATCTTCTGAAGGGGTTGAAACTTGTAATGCACCGGCAAACACACGGGTTCCAAGCGGTTGCGCTTGGTTACCACCTAGGATCTAGACTGGCCCCACAGATCAACACTAGTCTTTCCTGCACACCGTGTCCTCACTCACACGCATCTGGGGACAACTTCCCAGTCGGTCACCCATCCTCAAATTTCTCCAAGCCAAGCACACTTAGCTTTGAGATTCCTTGTGGATGGGCTCACAAAAAGAAGGAATTCTTTGTTGATATGAGTAGTATATATCATCACAAAAAAGATATGAGTAATCTATCATTCTTATAAAGCCAGGATCATTATGTCAGAAAACTCTCGGAGACGGATAAGAGAGGAGTGAAGATCAGATGACCAGGGTCGTGAAAAGTAGGAAAGATCGAACCAAGAGCCATTGCAAAACTATTCTCAGAGAAGCCGGCCTATGTGGATGCCCTAGCCCACTCTTTGTGGCTGACATGGAGTCCCATGAGAGGGGTGGAATGAAGAGATATGGGTGGTAATATTTACTTTTTTATGTTCAAACAGAGTCAGATCAGAGGAAAGCGATGGAAGTTGGCCCCTAAACCTTCGAAAAGGATTTACTTCTTCTGGAGGAGTTTGTACCATCAAAGAGAATTGAGGACTATGAGTTCGAGTATGTCACAATGTGGGTGAGATTATTTGATTCGACTTTGGGGGATATGCATCGATACAATGGCGAGTTAATTGGGAACCTCATGGGAGAGACACTGGATGTAGATGTTGGACCAGGTGAGATGGCTATAGGAAAGTTCATGAGATTTAAGATGTCGGTTGCATGACCGAGGAGGTGGGGGAAAGGAGGAATAGATATGGGTCAGGTTTGAGTAAGAATATCTACCTGACTTCTGTTTTGTTTGTGGAGTCATTTGACATGGTGCTAGAGAGTGCAAGATAAAGTTAAAGAGGGGAGATAACCCAAAATTTGGAAGGTGGATGAGAGCGTATATTGAGATCAGAAAAGGAGGGGATGATAGAGGGAGCTGGACTAACGGTAGGGGATGAGATGGAAGTTTGAGGAAAGGGTACATCTTTGGTAACTAGGGCACGCGGTAGATCGAGAAGTGATGAACTTTCTTGAAGGAAAGACATCAGAGGGAGAGGATGTAATATAAACGGAGGATCTAGAAAGGATGATGAGGTTTGAAGACTACTATGCCCCCCAGCTACTACTACGGAACAGTTGAACTCCAAAAAACAACTAACTTCCCATGCACCAAGGAGATTGTGGTATATTCTGATGGAGCAACATACAAAGATAAAGTGATGGAGGATGAAGATATTGTGATGTAGAAGGAAAAGGAGAGGCTAGAAGAAGCAGAGAGGTAGGAGGAAAGAGAGGGAGTTGAAGGAGGCGGAGAGTAGAGCGGGGCAAATAGAAAATCTAGAGAAGGATGTAGCCGATAAGGGAGGGACATGTGGTGCTGGAAGGAGGTAAGGGAAAGATGACAAAGGAAAAGGTTCATCGAAAGTGTGATGTGAAATTCAAATGTAACCAAAGAACAAAGGTGGAAGTTCAAGAGCCACTAGGGGTGCATGCCAGGACCAAATGAGGGCCATGATCGATGAAAGTGTATGGTGCCGGAGAGGGGTGTCCGAGAAACAAACCGAAGAGTGCCACTTTGATCGAAGTGACTGAAGCTGGGCTGACAAATCAGCCCTACGAGAAACAGTGAAGCTGTCGGCATGGAGTTGCCGGGGTTTGGGGAATGGCCCGTAATTCATGGTCTCCTGGATGTCCTGGAGGAGGACCCCGATGTGCTATTTTTGTGTGAGACAAAGACAGACAAGTGGGGCTTAGAGTGGTTGATATGGAAGTTAGGGCTCCCTAACTTGGTGGTGCAAAACAGTAAGGGACAGAGTGGTGGCCTGGTGGTGTTCTAGCGGAAGGGTTTGCAGATAAAGGAAGGGTGGAGTTCTAGGTATCATTTAGATGTGGAGATCACAAAGGAAGATGAGTTTCAGTGGCGGTTCACAGTCATGTATAGAGAGTCAAAATCCGAGGAGAAAGACAAGACCTGGAAGCTTATGTGCACGTTAAAAAATTCATAACAATAAACCATGGCTCATGGCAGGGGATTCTAATGAGATCTTAATGCAATGCAAGAAGGAAGGTGTGGTGGCTCGACCCCAATGGGCTAGGGACAAGTTTAGGAATGCTTTAGAAGAATGTGGTCTACATGACTTGGGATTCGCCTGTGACCCGTTTACATGGAGAAAAAACAACCATATCCCTGAGGAGTATATTCGTGAGCGTCTCGACCTAGCGGTGGCTACAACTAGTTGGTGTCAGAAATTCTTGGCTTATATAGTGATCTATGGGAAGAATCCAGGGGATTCAAATCATCGCCCTATCACAGTGCATGTGGAAATGGAGCCCAAGCAACCAAGGAAGAAAGTAGGGAGTGGGTTGTTTCGGTTTGAAGCTCGCTAGTTGGAGGAAGAGAAATGCAATACGATAGTGGAGCATGCTTGGGGAAGGGAAGTAGATGTTAGAGTAGCATATTTTAACCAAGCACTTAAAGGAGTGGCTTAGGACCTTACTAATTGTAGCTCGACGAGTCTTCGACAGTTATATAAGAGAACTGCAAGACATAAGAAGGAGTTGGAGGCCTACCGAAGGAACATGAATAGGGGCACATGTTGAAATATAAATTACAAAGGCCTGAGCACCACAGGGATCTATATTATAAACAATAGGCACATGTCAATTGGATGGACATGGGTGAAAAGAATACCCAATAGTTCAAGGCCTAAGCTTCAACAAGGAAGAAAATGAACCGCATCGGCATGTTGAAGAAAATAATGGCGAGGTGATGGAGGGGAGTCAGAGATGGCGTTGGTGATCACTAATTATTTATATTATTTTTTATCTCACAGATGAGCGACCACATGAACAAGTTATTGGACCAGGTGCCGCCTCGGATCTCCCCGGAGATGAACGGGTTCCTTACTAGGGAGTTCACCAAAGAGGAGGTTAAAGTAGCCCTGAATAGCATCGGTGATCTCAAGTCTGATGGAGTTGGTGGAATGCCTGCAGTTTTCCTTAAGAAGGATTGGGAAACTGTGGGTGACAAGGTAGCTAAATAAGTGCTCAATATTTTGAGGGGTGGTGATCTACCACAGTCATGGAATGATACATGCCTGTTTAGTTCTGATTCTCAAAATAAAGAAGCCCGAGTGTCTGAAAGATCTCTGTCCTATAAGTTTATGTAATGTAGTTTACAAGTTGGTCTACAAAGTTCTGGCTAATTAGTTGTAAGTAATCCTACCAGAGATCATTGTACCTAACCAAAGTGCTTTTATGCCTAGAAGACTGGTCACAGAATATGAGAAGTGGATCGGTGGGTGTGCGTCTTTGAAGTTAGATATGAGCAAAGCGTATGATAAAGTGGAGTGGCATTTCCTGGAAGGGCTGCTGAGAAAAACTGATTTTGCTGATAGTTGGGTAAAGACAATTATGAAGTGTGTCACTATGATAAAATATAGATTCTAGTTTAATGACATGATGACGGAGGAGATAAGCCTAGGTAGAGGACTAAGACAAGGATACTCCATCTCCCCTTATTTGTTTCTTATATGTGTTAGAGGGATTTTCAAGCTTGCTAAATAGGGCACAAGCTAGTGGAGAGCTAGAGGGGGTAAAGGTGTGTAGGGAGGCCCTGATTTTTGATCACTTATTGTTTGCAGATGACTTAATGATTCTTCTCAAGGTGAACGAAGAAAGTCTACATCACCTGCAAAACATTCTGAAGCTTTATCAGGTTTGCTTGGGACAAACTATAAACGTTAATATATCATCCATTATGTTTAGAAAAAAATACAAA